CAATCCTTTTGATCAAGGTAAACTAACTAATTTTATCCCAAGCTCAAGCTATGTACATGGATATCAATCTCTAACTTCAGTAGATGTGACCCATTTGATCAAGGAACAAAGTAACTACACGTTTTCCACTGGGAAACTGGTTTTACATTAACTGAGGCATTGTTCAGAGAAAGGGAGAGAAGGAACTTGGCCCACTGTTCAAACAATGGAAGCTCTGAGACTCTTCTCCTGGGCTGACATATGGCAATCTACCTTTATAGCCATGAGAAGTTTTCATGTCAGGCCGCCCGCGGCTATTCATGCATGAGACCCCTTAGGCTCTGAGGTTGGAGCATGCTTTGCTGTACTCCCGGATTGCTGATATGTGTCCCCCAACTAGGCAGTTAACATTTGCCCTTATTTCAGGCTTCTGCTTAGGCAATTCCTTCGCCTCCTCTCCTCTCACAGCCTCAGACATAGCATCATTAAGTCCCAGTGATCTTAATCCCATCATTTGCCATGTAAAACATGAGTCAAGAATTATATATTGAATTTACTTGATGATTAATATGATGTGTCAGCATTATTGACAAACATCTGCTATTACTAACTGAAGCCAGAGGTAATTTAATTGATGATCTTTGCTGCATCCTACATAAACCATAGAGTAAAAACTGCTGTTCAAGCACCTTACACAAATGCAAATACTCATTGCAAATGCTGACATGGCATGCATATTCTCTATTTGTGCTATTAGAAAACAGAGAGAAGCAAACCTGGTCTACAATGTCATTGACTTTATCCCGTTCACAGTCCAGAATCACACGCCGTTCCTTTTTTAACTCCAGATCTTGAAAAAGTGATCGGTAGGTCTCATCTTTCTTGTCATTGTTAATGTTTCCCACATTGATAGCAGTCACTTGCCATTTCTTTTCAGCAGCAGAATCCAGCACAGCTTGCAGTGTTGATAAGCCTAGGAAGGAAAAGAAAAATGATGACTGATAAAGACACTTGAATAACTTAGAATTGTGTTATGAAATTGCCAGCGAATGTATTTTTGAGACTGATATATTTGTACAACTAAAGGAATGTTGACTCCTCATGAAAAGCTACAGCTATGATCTTTATCAACATCTACTTATGTCCGCTTCACATCAAAAACTCATTACTTAAATTCTATTGTTCTGACCAAAGGAGTCATTGTTTGAAGGAAATAGTATCCCTTTCTTCTAACCCTCTTGGCTGTCATCTTTTGGATATTACAAAGTGTAATGTTTTTAATACTTCTTGTTTAAGTAAAATCAGAAGACATCACAAACATTTCTTACTCTGATAGAATGGGAAAAAATTGTTTAGTCATACATATGACAGACATATGACAGACTATCATACTGTCAAATGATAGTCTATCATTTGACATTAATATCCTGAAGAAGTTAAGTACATTTTCCGTGTGATGAATCCTCGTGAGTCTGTGTGAGTATAAGAGCCAATCATCTCTATCAGGCTGCTAAATTTTTTCCTATTGATTTCTAGTCAGGAGTTTTGTTTCATTTTTTTTTCTTCTGTAGTCTTACCTTATATCATGTTTTGTTATTGGGAATGATCCCATAGAGGTTAAAGTGTTCATATATTAACCAGACAGTGGCCGTTAGTTCTCTAACACAGATTTATTTCATCTCCTAAATTGAATACCATTTTACTCTTAGTTAGTAACTTTGGTTATAGCATCATATGACATAAAAAAATTTTGTTATTTTTAATGGTCCATACATTACCTCATATTTAGGACTGATATGGACAACAGCTAGGGGATTTATTTCCTAAAAAGTTAAATATTCAATTTAGCACTTGGAAAAACAGTGCATAAATTTGTCTTTTACGTCAATTCAACTATTCACAGCCAAAGCAAATTCATCATTTATAT